TTAGTCAAAAAATAGGTTGGTTGGAACTTAATAATTTACTTCATTAGTGAAGAAAAATCTGAATTGGTTTCAAAGTCCCAATCAAGTAGAACCGTGACATGTCATATCGAGCATGTGTATTGTGTAGCAAAATGTCGACAATGAGATTGATGGAGATTATAAACTAATGATTTTGAAACGTAATTTAATTTCATCATTTTGTTTTGAGGAAAAAAGTTTAGCGAGAAGAGGGTTTTGTCCGGTTTAATTGTATGCAAAGTTTGTAACGGACGTGAGGTGTGACGTAGTGGTCAGGTTAAGTTAGTAATAAGATGTTCATGTGTTTTTCAAAGTTAAGTGCCTTGAGATGGCGTGTATGTATGTATGTATGTGTGTATATATACATTACTAAATGAAAGACTTTTGTCTACGTACTTTTTCCTGGGAAATGTGTTGCTAAAAGGTGGTTCATCACAAGACCATCACAAAAGTTGGTAAGTAAGTTGTCGTTGGGTAATTCAAATCAGTGACAAAGTTTTTTTTTTGGAAATGTATGGGTAGTCAAAAGTTACAACTTCAACAACATTTAGTGCATCAGCCAACAAGTTCTTCCATCTAATCATCCACTCGGAAGACGAAGGAGCACCGGTGCCGTGAGCGAAGACGACCACCGGAGAATTATTATTATTATTTATCTTCACCGATGAACTCTGAGCTCTTGTGACCATCGAAAAATCAGTGACAAATTACCCAGGAATTGTTTTGGTGATCCATTGGTATTTTCTCGAAAAACATCGGATTATACCGAACCATTGATATTTTCTGGATGATTTGTATGCAAATTTTCCTATATGATTTTTGTGCGTTAAATTCATTTTTTTTTGTAGTGATACATATATATTTCTATTATTACTCAGTGAAACAATTTTTTTAAAAAAATAATTTATTGGTATGTCGAGGTTAGGTAAGTATAAAACTTGAAGTTTAAAAAACTTGCAATAAACTAGAAATATGTTATAGCATCACTATATATGCCACGAGACAACGACATAACGCCTTAAACAGTTCTTATGGAGGTTACTAAAAAAATAAAGATGTATATCGTTGTCATGACGCACCAATAAAAATACCGAGTGTAATTAATAGCAGTATAAAGTCCCTTGAACATAGGTTGCTAATGGTCTTGGAATCTTATATTAGATCTAGAGTTATCTTCGATTCGAATAATATATTCGAACCATAGTTCTAAAAGATGCATCTCACCACATTAACCCGTGTAGCAACTATAAGACATGGCACATGTCATACTTCTTAAGACAGCTCCAGTTTTTTTAAATAGGCATTTTCACAACACTGTACAACTGCATTTTTATATGTGTTGTTCATACTAAATTAATGCATGAAAACCGATTTGTAAACGATATGCATATATAATCATATATATATATATATATATATATTGAGTTGGTTCAAATGAGAACATTGTCAAAATAATAGAACAATCAAATACATGATTTTACACTGAAATCACATGTGATTGTAGCATGACTTTAGCCACGACCTAGATCGTGGGTCTAGTTTTTCCCACACACTTTACGTTGACTGTGTTCAATACGTACCTTATGTTTTTTTTAATAATTCATTAGTTTTTTTTTTTTTTACTTTTTACATAATTAAATAAATGAATCCATTCCATTGAAAACTCAATAATTCTCTTATCTAAATGAAATTGTAAATTCTACTGTAATTCAATTTTCCTTGTTTTGGAAACCTGACATGTTTCGGCCATTCATTATTGTATTTAGAGTTGAACCATCATTGTCACGTCTGATCGATCTATAGATATGCATTAACCCTTTATGTATTTCGACACTGTTAATTCCTTTTTTTATCTCATCACCGACATTAGGTTTGAATGAGGACGAAAGAAACTGTAACCCGATGTTGACATCATCATTATTGTAAGAATGATCCAGAAAAAACTTTAGTTTCTCTCGCATAGACGACTTATAAGTATTTCAATGTCATTTTACTATACATGTCGTGACAAGGTACCATCAACTTCCATGTGGTCTTCTGCAATCGATATCTAAGAAAGAGAGGGTGTATTTATGTTCTCAAATAATTCGTTCCATTTTGACGCTTATATGTTCAATCCAATAATTGAGCATGTATGTCTACCAACCAGATATGAATTACAAATTCAAACTCTAAATGATTGTATTATTTGTTGAGTTAGGTTAATAATTACAATTATGAAAATTTCAATTGTTTGAATGTAATTGTTAAGTAAAAAAAAAAAGGTAAAAAATTTTGTTGTTTTTTACTTGCATGTACCAAAAATGCTTATCAAATTATTTATAACATTGTCATCAAATCACAATGGTTGTGTTTGATTGGTTTGAGTTTGGTTTCCAAAAGTCAAAAGTGTCTAAAGGTCTCAGATTCAAATTCAAGAAAGGATAAAAATCCTCTTGTGGTCACGGAGATTCAAATGCGGTGACTATGTGCTACCTGCATAACAAGTGGTCGTCTTGGGATTAGTCGGCTTGCATAGCGGGTTGGATATTCAGGTTAATAAAAAACATTGTCATCAACAATTAAGTACATGGCTAGTATAGATTTAATCATTATCAAATTCTTTAAATATTTAGTTAACTAATTAATTAGATTTCATAATTCATAAAATTAGTGCAAAATATATTCTACCCATTTATAAAAGATGTTTTATATAAGATTCAGATCAAAGTATCAAAACATATGTGTATCATATGTGACACAAAAATTATAAAACTTAAGATTAAGAAATTTATTACTACTTTTATTATTAGAGATAAAATTATCATTAAATTAGTTAAAAAATGTAATAATTAAAAATTTATAAATTCGTGTTCCTTTTTCATTATCAGCAGCAAGGTTCTAAATGACATGATACATGGCATGACGGTGGATTCAAACCTCAAGGCTCAGGAACCACGACGACGTAATAACGTTTTTCAAGACTTGACTTATGGCACATGACAAATCTGTATATCATACAAAACTATATATACGCATATATTTTCTACTATATTATCCAATTATTCAATTATATTAAACAATTTAAATTAGTTTATCTGTTAAAACTAAAAAGTTAGACACCGAAAAACTAAAAAAAAATCAAACATCGTGTTACAATACCCCTACATTGGGTCGTAGCGTGTCATAGACTTAAACATGATGTAAAATACAAATCTTGAACTACGACGCATCATTATGGTTATTGTGGGGAGTCTTTCAAACACACTTAATAGCATTTATTTTTTACTAGGGAATATTTAGTTATTTAAGATGATTTAGGCATTGTTGGACGAACATAACCTAGTTTATCAGCTAACTTAATGTTTAAGCAATCGTTTGGATGTAAATAAGTTAACTTATGAGCTAACTTATTGATAAACTACTTGGAGATGCTTATTAAGAGTTCTTTTTGACACGTTTTCAAATTTTGACTCTGATTAATGGATTGTTTTGCAAAACTAACCTAACTTAATTTCTGGGTACACGTTTGGATGCACATAAGCTAGTTTATTTAAACGTTACTTGAAATAGCGTTTTTGGAGTTTATTTTCACTTTTTACAATTATGACGCTCATTAATATTAATTTTTATCTATTACTATTAATTATAAATAAATAGTAAATATTATTAATATTAAATAATATAATTTGGAAATTAATTTTTATTAAATTTTAAAATTTAAATCATTTT